TCCTTCCTTTCTACACCCCCTGCCTGCAGATGACTGGATGTTTGAGCGGCCATCCAATCAGTACTTCCTAGGGCAGTTTCTGAGAGTTGAAGCTTCTGTGAAGCAGTACAACCACGTTCCTTTGCGCTTGTTTGTGGATGGTTGTGTGGCTACTGCAGTCCCTGATGTGAACTCTGCTCTAAGATATTCCTTTATTGAGAACCATGGGTGTGTAAGCATTAAATTATTGACCTCCTGTGTTGCTAGAACCGATTTTATTTTTTGTTTTAGGTGCCTGGTTGATGCAGAGCTTACAGGTTCAACTTCTAGTTTTATGCGCCGGGTTCAGAATGACAAACTGCACTTTCAGTTGGAGTCTTTCAGATTCCAGCAATCAAATAGTGCTCTGGTATGTAGTGATGCTGTAATTCAGTACTAAGAGCTGGTTGTTCTTCCCCCTGCTTGCAGAGTTTACTTTTTTTAAAGTGCTTTTATAGGTCTACATCACATGTGCTTTGAAGGCAGTTGTGGCTTCAACCCCCATAAGTCCAGAGAACAAGGCTTGCTCCTTTGCAAATGGGTATACCCTGACAGATTAAGTTTCCACCACATAAGATGTATACTGAATGGGTAACTATTTTCCTGTTTATAGATGGCTTTCCGCTGATGACAATGACCAGGTGTGCATGTGCTGTGTTTCCACATGTGGCTCCAGCTGGAAAGGGCAAGCACTGTCTGATTCGGGTGAAGATGTGTTCTAAGGTCTATTCTCTGTAGCTAAACCTATGACGGTGCCTTAATTTTTTCTTTCCTCCCCAAGGCCTTGTTTCAGAAGGGAAAGCAACCATTGGCCCCATTGTAGTGTCTAATTGATGTGGATTGTAAGCAGTGGCCAATAAATATCTGAAAGCGACACATCTTGAGTTCTTTCTAGAGGATAGTGTTGGGCTCTTTTACACCTTGACATGGTCTTGCACCTGCATTGACCCCTTGCATGGAAGTTTAGTTACTAGTGACCAGTGGCGGCTCGTGGGTCTTAAAATAGAGGTGGCACACTAATTTTATTGGTCTGGGGATCCCTTCCAACTTCAGTAACGTGTTATATTACAGATGTGAAGTTACAAACAAAAAATACATGTTCTGAGATATAAACTGAAATGTAATTGCGAATTTTATTAACATTTAAATCACCCTCCCTTTTCACCTCAATTTTGGGGAAGCTATGCTTCCCCAACAAGCCGCCACTGCTAGTGACGTTGACATTTTGTTTTTCTTCCTGAAAGCCATGACATTTGTTTCAAGTGAAAATCATGACACTGTAGTAGAAAACTTCAAATGCTAGGGAAATGGGGAAACTTGAATCTTAACACTTGTGCAGTAGTTTTGTGGAAAATGTACTGACTACCAGTGCGTCGCAACTGTAAAATCTAACAAATGTACTAACTTTATTTTTGTTGACTTGACTTAAAGTGCTATTGTTTGGTTACCTTACTGGTGTGGATCTATTAAATCTTACTATTCGTGCTAAAAGTCCTAGTTGTTCATATATCCCTAGTTAAGGTTACGTACTTCGACTGTGCAAGCCATGCAACAACTGATGTCATCAAGGTTTGGATCAGTGTTACCAACTTGGCAATTTTGTTGCTACATTTAGCAATATTGCAGACTACCCATAGCTGCTTTTTCTTCAAAAAGCACCTAGCAACAAATTTGGGTATTAAAATAGATTTGGCAACTTTTAGCAACGGATTCAAATAAGGCACACATTTTCCCTCTAGTTTACACAGAGGAAATCAAAGGTGTCTAGCAGTACACATCACATGGATTAAAGGTGGGGTAAATTTTATTTTTTTCCAAAAATGCTTTAGAAAACTGATCCGGGCCGACTAGCAAAACAAACTTGTAGCCAATCAGCAGTAAGGGGCATGTCTACTCATGATGTGGAGGAGAGAGCGTTCAGTGCACAGGATGGACATTAGCGAGCCGAGCGACAGAAAGATAGAGATGGCAGATAAAAGAGGAAAATGTCTGCGGCACAAAAGAAGGCTTAAGGCAAGAAGTAGGATCCGTGTAGATATCTGATCAGCTTTCCAGCGCTGGAGAGAACTCAAGGAGCGGAAGGCCTGCGATCGAACACCGCGGTTGCTTTGTTTGTTCTCGATAGGTGAGTAACACCGTGTCTGCGCCGCAACCGCTAAAGTCTGTCTAGTCCACTGGACGTGACAAAGCGACCGTTGAAAATCATGTGAAATTTGTCAATATGTCATGAATAGAACGCAGCAGCAGTTTTCTGTCGGGATTTGTCGTAGAGTGTGTGTGTATATATCTATGGTGTAGACCGCATCACTGATTAGGAGTTCCATAGTGTTTGCCGCGCCACTCGTGTCTGGTGTAGACACGGTGTAACATTGGTTTTGCTTTGTTTCACAGAACTAATCGTTGCGTATGTGTGGGGTGGAGCTATCAAAATGGGGGCGAGACCCTTTTGGGGGTATAGGAGCGTGTTTGTTTTGGTGATTTCAAATGTCAACATTGGCTACCAGAAATCGCTTACCCCACCTTTAAGTTGCTATTTGCTATGGTTCAATAATAGTTAATATATGAAAACACCTTGTTGATAGTTTGTACCTGCGTTTGTTGATCAGATCATTTAAATATGTAGAAAAATGGAAAAGATACTGGCAATTTTCTGTCAGGACATTCTCAGTTAAGTTGTAACCTGAAAACACAAAATACAATGCATAATCTTATATTCAGGTTTAAAAAAAAAAAAAAAAAACCTGTGAAATCAATACAGAAAATTCGTAGCTTTATGAGAAAATAGGCCTACATAAAATGTAATTGTTAAAAAATCTGTGTTCAATATTTCAATGTTGTAATTAAAAATAATTATATATTGTTGTTTATAGTTTTACTAACAAATCTCAATATTACAAAACGTATTCAATTTTTTTTTTTTGAGATTTGAGTGATCTGATTGTGTATTCTATGCAATTTTGCATTGTGATTTACATTATGTCATGCAATTACGGTGACGCACGATATGGACTTACAGAGATTGACTTTTCCTAAAAATCTTTTTGTATTTATCAGAAGAAAGTAATATACACAGAGGTTAGCATGAGGGTGATAAATGAGAATTTTAATTTGGTGGTGGACTATCTCATTAAATTAAATGGATTGTCGGTAGTGCTGTCAAACAATTAATCGCATTCAAAATAAAAGTTGTTTTGTTTACACTTGCGTGCGTGTGTGTGTGTATATGTGTGTGTGTGTGTGTGTGTGTGTATGTATATATATATATATATATATAAAAACACACATGCATGTATATATTTAAGAAAAATGCTATGTTTAAATATTAAATATACTTATAATGAATATTAATATAAGCATGTAAATATTTTCAACATATACTGTGTGTATAGATATATACACACACATATATATATGTGTAAACAATAACTTATTTTGAATGCGATTAATTGTTTGACAGCTCTAATTGTCAGCAAATTAAAAACAATAAGACATTCTTTACACATACAGAATAACATTAAGTTTCATTTTAAATTTGAAATACTTTTTTTAGGAAATTGAGGTTACTCTTCAACATACTGCAGGTCTCCATGGCATTCCTGTCCTGCTTGTGCACAACACATGAAAGGTTTTATTTTCATGCTTTCTCTTGATTCAGCAGTTGTGTTTACTTGTTGACAAGTTGTCATTGCAATACATGCCAAAGGAGTCAGTATGAGCAAATGTTTTAGTTTTTTTGTTACTATGTATGTTAAAGTATATTGAGTGTGCATTCTTTTTATTGTTTATCTAACTGTCTTGGAGCTAATCCTGACGAGTTAGTTATCAAGTTTAATAGGCTATGTTCAAATATACTTGATGCTGTTGCCCCTTTTAAACTGAAAATACCTAGAAGTTGTGTACATCCTTGGTTTAATGATGAAACTAGGGTGATTAGACAGAAATGGAGAAAAACAGAAAGGAAGTGGAAGAAAGATAAATTGCAAATATCATATGATTGCGTCAAAGAGTGTATGATTCACTATCAAAAAACTGTTAAGATTGCAAAGGTGAATTATTTCTCTGATCTTATTGCTAAAAACGCTCATAGTCCAAAAATATTATTTAATACAATTAATAGTGTGCTAAATCCGATGTCTAATTTATATCCGGATCCGTCTCCTATGGCCTGTGAAAACTTTCTTAAGTTTTTTACTGACAAGATCGATGTTATAAGATCATGTATTGTTCCCTCCTCTCTGGACTTCCCTCAGTCCACATCAATTTCTACGTATTTATCTGAATTTACTCCAGTGTCTTATAGTTACCTAGTGCAAATTATTTATAAAATGAAGCCCACTTTTTGTTCATTGGATGTTTTTCCTCCTTGTCTCTTATTAGATACACTTGACACTATTAGTCCTAGTTTATTGTCAATAATTAATAGCAGTTTAATCAGTGGAATAGTCCCATCTTATTTTAAGCATGCCACAGTGCAGCCTACTCAAAAAAACAAATCTTGATCCAACAGTTTTAAATAATTACCGTCCCATTTCTTAATTACTGTTTTTATCAAAAGTTTTGGAGAAGGTTGTTTTAATCAATCACCAGTGATGATCTCTCTCCACTGGCTCCCAGTTAAATATCGTATCCATTTTAAAACATTGTTGTTTGTTTATAAGGGTTTGCATGGACTGGCTCGGTCATATATTTCCGATCTCCTTCTGTTTCACTGTAATGCCTCCAGGAAACTTCTATCAACTAGTAGTCTTCAGTTGACTGTTCCAAGGACACGCTTGAATTCGAAAGGAGATCGTGACTTTTCAGTGACTGCTCCTCAGCTATGGAACATGTTGCCACCCTATATAAGAACTGCACCAACATACGCTGATTTTAAGTCTCTTCTTAAAACTTATTTATTTACTGTTGCATATGGTCATAAGTAAGTGCAGTGGCATAGCTGTAGTGTACTATCTGTCGCTGTGTTCTATGTTTACTTTTGTATTTTGGTATATGCTTAAATTTTGTACAGCACTTTGGCCAACAGCTGTTGTTTTTAAATGTGCTCTATAAATAAAATTGACTGACTGACTGACTATTGTTAATGTGCTCAGCGAATATCATTCTTCTCAAATGCTCTTTTGTTGGTTTTGATTGCTTCTATTGTCCTCAGTTACGTTACATTAAAGAAAAGTGTCTGCTAAATGACAACTCTTAACATTACATTTTTTTTTTTCTGATTCAAGTATTGTTAATGAACAACTATTACAAATTACCATGCTGACTTACATTTGTTTTCTGCATTTTGAAAAATAAATGTTTTGAAATGTGAATGGAGAGCTGTTTTTTTTAACTAGGTAGGCCTATAGTTATTCTCAATGTTCCTCAGATCACCGATTCAATTAAGTTAACTAAGCTTAAATGGTTTAAGTAAATAGGACTTAAAATAAGTAAGGAATACTTTTAATATATTAGTAAATAATACTTAAATTACACGTAATTCAATTAAGTTAAGATTACAGCGAGTTTGCACAATTTAATTAAGTGAACTTAAATTACTTTTTACAGTGACATCTAACATCAATTTAAATCTGTTTTTCATACAGGTGTGTGTGTGTATTATTATTATTATTATTATTATTATTTTTTTTTTTTAAATAATAAATAGCAACAAGTCACATACCAACCTTGTGTGATGGCCTCATATGTGCATGAAGGGGAAAAACTGATCAAGACTGCATTTAAATGTTCACCTGCAGGAAGGATAAACTTCATCCCATTTTCCAATTTGTACCATAAGTGTGTTTTGGGGTGTTCAACAAGGTCAAAATTAGCTATGAAACACTGTGTAGTTACATGCATCCTGGAACCTTAAACTATCCTGTTACATTTTCA